ATTACTTACTGTCGGTAATTGCCGGGTACACAATATCCGTGGCGGCCAGTGTTTGATCGAGGTACCTATTGTCATTGGTGTTTTTGGCGCACATTTCAAGGCTAGGGCCGTCATCCAGCAAGTCGTTCACATTCCGGGCGCAGGTTATGACGTCCCCCAAGGGGTTAGTTTTCCAGTTGTCGCCGCTAGCCGTGCAAAGGACCATGAAGAATTCGTGGTGATTTTCGTACTGGGTCACGTGGTTACGCGCTATGCACGCCTATAATGCAATCAAATAATTTAGAATTGTGATTAGCCCTAGTTGCAATAGCGTGGTATCAATCGTATTAACTTTTACCAGCTAAATTATCTATTTAAATTTTTAAAAATATCTAATTAACTATTTATTAATCTATTTAGGTGCTCCATTTATAATATTATTTAATTTTTACTAGAAAAAATAACAAAACTACTAGGTCATCCGCCGGTAAACTTACATGCAATCTGGTACCCAGACAATCGGTGTCTCCTTCCGGACAGGTATAGACATTTTTGCCCTGAGCATCGGGAACTCTAGTCGCTCTACCCCACGGAATATAATCAAACTCGATATTGTATTTAGCATTTCCATGTGTACCAGGCGTCAATAGGTCGTAAATGCCCTTGTTATTATCTTTCGTGTTCAATTTAATAAAATCGACTGATTTTTGACTTAATGGCGAATAGTACACCTGCACCTTAACCGTGTCACTTGGGACCGGGGTGGGTACATCAGTAATGGGTGGATCAAGAATTGTTGAACAGGGGGTACCAGGGCGGTTATCAAGCTGTGCAATCATAATAAATAAAATAAATCTTTAAAATTGGCTCAAATTTTAAGCAAGAATTAAGCGTTGTATACAAAACTTATACATACAGGCATGGCCCTGCACACTTCCGTTTTCAGGTTGGTTATTGCATTTGTATTTACTCGGCCATTGATTATTACAAGTGGGTTGCTTGCTATAAAAATTTAATTTTTTAAAAATTCTATATAGTATAATAATTAACTCTAGTTTTAAAATTCCGCAATAACCTTGATAATTTATATTTATATATTATTAGATTATATGCCCATTTATATTTTATGGCACATAATAAAATTTTAAACATATTTCAAAATTAATATTTTTCTTATTAGTCACTCTGCTATAAAAATTATAACAGTAATAAAAATTGATAATGCTCATTTTGAAACTGAATTCAATAAAAATGACATAAATAAATAAAGCATATTACACGTTGAAAATTCTGGGTACAGGGTGTCGGTGACGGCTATAACTTCCTCCAAGTATGGGTCACTTTGTAGATTAGCGTTGGCACACAATTCTAGGCCAACCCCATCATCCGGGATATCAGGGTACCGATTGCCACACTCAATAACCTTACCAAGGGGGTTCGTTTTCCAATCAGTTTGGGTCGCTGTACAATATATCATAAAGAACTCGTGGTGATTTTGGTACAGGGACACGTGATTGCGGGCAATGCAGGCCTTTTATTAATAAAAAATAATTTTATGTAATATTAAAATTTCTACTAATTAGTTTTGGTATACTAATATTTATAACTATAGCAAAAAAAACTATTTTAGAATTTTGTATAATAAATATTTATTATAACATGGATATAAATTTTGTGGCCGTGGTCAACTATTATTTTACTGCATATAAAATTTATTATTTAATAAAAAAAATTATCTCTCAAATAAATATTTTAAACTGTAATTCTTATTTAAATTTAAAAATACGTAACAATTAATAAAATAATGTAAAATAATGGAGAATAAAATATGAAATGAAATTTTTGGATTATCCATTATAATATTAGTATTTATTAAATAAATTATTCAATAATTATAATAATTTTCAAAGGATACTTACGTGTAACCTAGTGCCCAGGCACTTATCATCGTCAGTGCACGTATATTTAATTGTGCCATCGGAATTTATCTCACGCGTACTCGTACCCCAGGGTATATAATCTACCTCAACCCCGAATGATGCCTCCCCTTCAGCCTTGGGCACCATTAGCTCATAGAGACTTTGAGGGCCACCTGCTACATTTAATTTAATTAAATTTATTGCTGCATCGCTCATTGGGTTGTAGAAAATTTGGACTTTAACCAAGGTATCTGGGTCGGCCCGTGGCTAATAAATATAATTAATCATTAATTAATTGACATAGACAAATTAAATATTTTAATAAATTCTATTTAAATCTATTTTATATAAATTAAGTTATAATAATTTTAAACAATATAATACAGTATATTTATTATAAATTATTAGGTTGTAGGTAATTATTAAAACAAAATTTACCTGAGCACCAGTCCTATTAATTGAGCTTGCATCTAGGTAAGCCGTTAAGCATGTGGCCAGCACACATGTCCACACAATTAACAAGTTCATTGCTAATTTATAAAATATAAACACTAATTTTTAACTAAATAAATAACTACCTATCTACTATGCATTTCAATTAAAACTACACTAAATGATCCCCAACACCACCAAAACTACAAATGAGTTTATGTTAGACAAAACTTTTAGTTTTATTTGCTAGTTTAATATAAATATAAAACAATTTAATTGTTATACATTGCGAATGATAAGGATGTAATTAAAAAATAAATTATTTTTTATTAAGCTTAATGTGAGTTATCTTTATAGCAGCATTTTGTCTCATAATGTACCTTTCATCTATAAATACCTAGAATTGGTTTAATATTGTAGGGCGTTAATTATTTAATTACTATTAAGTTTAGGTATGACTAGTTTTAATGCCCTTGATAAGTTTCATGATTTCATTGAGAATACGCAAAATTTAATTTTAGTTAGTTGATTAATTTATATTAAATTACTATTAATTTATTAGAGTACATATTATCAAATGTAAATGATCTTGAAAATGCATGATGTATAATAATTGTATTAAATGAATAAATTGTGCTTACTAAATTTGCAGCATTTTTGTATTAAATTTTAAGGTTTATATTAATTTATAAAATAATCTGTTATTTGAATTAAATTCAAAATTAATTTTAATAGTAAATTAATAAGTTTTAATACAATATGAAATTTTAAAAGATTATATTTTTAATTAAATTAATAAAATAATACACTTAACAAAATTCAATAAATGTTTATTAGCCCATTATCAAAAATTGTATGTTTTATGTTTACAAATCATTTAGTTTACGAGTGCAATATTTATTAATTATTTTATAATTATAGTATATATATAAAGCTATATAATATTATGCTATGTCACAATATAATATTAAAATAATTTTGAAAATTATCTTTTACAATCAAACGTTAATATCAACCAATAAAATGTCGGTAAAAATATCACATTTTATTTCATTGTTATAAAATTATTGCAAATTTACTGCGACATGGGCTAGTGCATTTTAAATTTTCAATTAACTATAATTTAAAGTATAATCATTTTGTTAACTATTGCAATTAGCAGGGCAACTACAATAATTCATTATCAAATTATTAGAATAATTAACGAACTTATTTGTGCAGGACATTTGATAAAATAATTAATATGATAAAATAAATATCCATACACAAAAATCCTATGAGAAAATGACTCACTTTACAAAGGTAATAAAATTTGATACTATTTAAGTGCATACTATTTAATTCAGTTCACATTTAGTTCAATATTAAATATTGTCAAGGTAATATTTATATTATATACTATAGTATTATTTTTAAAAAATAAAGTAAATACCTTGCAGAATAGTTAACTAATGCAAATTATTCTTGTAAAATTTTTAATTTAAACATTAATTAATAGTTAAATAATTATAATATTGTATTTAGCTTATTTTTTGTACTTACAATAAATTGTTTTAAATAAGAATTTCAAGTAGAATTACTTTATATAATTAAATTAATGTTATATTAATCGTAAATGCCCTTTTATGAATTTAATTATCCAGCAGTTTTTAACTTACTAATTTTCAGGGTTAAGTAACAGGGTAGACTATAAATTAATTTTTTATCGTGTATGTTCGGGTGAATGTAGCAGGCTATATTATAAATTGTTTATCCTGTTTATCATTAATCTCTTGTAAAATAATTTTTGATAAAAATATATTCATGGATTACTTTTTAAAAAAATCAAAATAAATATAAATATTAGTAATATATTTATTTTAATTTGATTCATATTTGTACAATACAAATCAAACGTACTGTATAATTTTTGTATAAATGTTTTAAAAACATTAAGATAACTTTTATATATTTTTCAAATTAATCGATGAATATATTTTGATCAAAAATTATTTTCCAAGACATTTATAATAAAATTGACTAGCAATTAATAATATAGCCTGCTACATTCACTTTTACGTACCAGATTAAAAAGACTTAAAAAGACTGACAAATTCACTAAGATTAGGTTAGCCTAAGCCTAATATTTTATGCAAAATATTTTATATAAAATCTCAGCCAGTCAAATAAATACAGTATTTATTTAAAAGCTAATTATTTTTAAAAATATCTAATAAATAAATATATGGCGATATACTGATTATGGGTATTATATTATGCTTTTTAAGTAATTGAATAAAAAATATATATGTACAAATTACTAAAATAATAAAATCTACACAATTATAAATTTTTAACAACTTTATTAAGCAATCAAAATCATAACTTCCAACACATTATGCCTTAAATAAAAACAATAGCATTGATAACAACTCCAATACATACGCTGTATAGTCATATAATTTTATGAAACATAATTAAAATCTTTGATAACAAATGAACAAATTTTATGCCGGTTTATTACGAAATTTTTTTAGACTTTATACCACTCGGAAAATATTGCAGTAGCATGCGCGTTATAGCCACGCGTTGTACAGCACGCCCACTATGGCTACAATCAGTACCGCCGAGTTGAAGTACAGGGTGGCGCTGCCATCGCTAACATCTTTACACTCTTCCACAGGTCTTTGGTCGCTCTGTATATCAAACGAAAAAATAATTTATTAATTATGATATAATTTTAATTAATTAAATAATTTAATATTAAAAAACTGTAATAAATATCTTAAAATGCTTAATGATAAAAATGTATTTTTGTGAAAATTATTATTGGTTTTACCCCCAAGAGATCTTAATGAAAATCAAAATTTTTATTATAGAACCAGATACTTATAGAATTTTATGTTTTACTAACATATTATTATTGTATCTGATAATTTCTTAACCAAATTATTTTAATTAGTTAAAACTTATATGTGTACGTACCGGGAACGCCCTGCACACTTGAGTCCTTAGGTCAGTGCGGGCGGCGTCATTACGTTCGCCATTGATGTAAATCAATGGTTCGTTATCTAGAAATATGTTATATATTGTCAGTTATAAATGTTTCATACAAAAGATTATAATTTAAAACTCTAATTAAAACATAAATAGACATATCTTATCAAAATAAGATTTAATCAGATTGAAATTCAAGTAAAACAATTTATCTAGAAACTTAACCGCCATCTACTATGCTAATAAATAAACTCATTAATAAACTAGTAAGTTACCCGCGTTAGTAATGTCCTCGAAAATGCTAATAACGTTGGTGGCGGATATGGCCTCATCGATATACCGGTTCCCATCGGTGCTATCCTTGGCCGCGCACTCACGCAAACCAAACCCATCATCGATCTCGTCGTTGATATCCTTGGCGCACGTGGCAATGTTACCAAGGGGATTTGTTTTCCAGTCGTCCTGTTGTGCCGTACACAATATCATGAAGAACTCGTGGTGATTGTGGTGCAGTACGCCATTGTTGTGCGCGATGCATGCCTGTTTGAATTTTGTAAAATTTTATGAATGCAACATATTGTGACTAGAGAGCAGGACTATTTTGACTATAAGTTGTTGAAGTATTCCTAGAAATATACATTTCAAACTGTAATTTTGCACTAACACACATTAACAAATAATGTTTGACAAAATAGTTTGAAATGTGTATGTCTAAGAACTATTCTGCACGGGCCCATCCATTTATTGTAATAACCGTTGATTACTGAGTTTTATTATTAAAAGTTAGTTTAAATTGTAACTTGTAAAAAATTAATTATGAAATGTGAATGCTAAATAATTTGTATTCTCTCTCTCTCTCTCTCTCTCTCCCTCCCTCTCTCTCTCTCTCGATGCGATGGGTTGTCACTGAATTTTAAAGAAGTCAATCACACAGACACTTAAATAAATGATTGTAAAATACTGCTTGGTATCAATACTGCCCAATAGAGTACTAGTATTAGTTAAAATGCTAGCACACCATTGTTTACCTAGCTAATTTAAATACTCTACACATTAAAACTTACATGTAATCTCTCGCCCAAACAATCGGTATCAGTTTCAGCGCTGCAGTCGTATTTGAGTTTACCATCAGCCTCAAGAGTACGGGTATTCCTACCCCATGGTATATAATCGACCTCGATCCTATATTTGATCTGGTCCACCGTGCCATCCTTGGGCGCCATGATGTCCCAAATGCCCTCCTTTTGGCCCTTTGTGTTCAATTTAATGAAATCAATGGCTTTCTTGCTGAAGGGCGTGTAAAACACAAGCACTTTAACCAGGGGTGTATTATCTTCATCGGCCAGTGTCTATCAAAAAAAAATTAGCATGTTACATTTTAAAATGTTATTTCATTGTGCGTGTATGTAAAAATATTATTATAATAACAAACGAGCAATTTAAATTTAGTACTGTGATTTTTAAAACATATTACATTTTTATAAGAATTATATTTATATATTTTTATTACATGCTTAAATATTTTACTATATAGATCATAGCTCATTTACATTTATAGAAATTACCTTTAACATTAGTAATTGCTGTATATGAAAAATTTTGTAAATGTAATGTGTAATATAGAAATTAACATGAGCAATTAGTAATGTTATAAGCACTAGAAAATGTATCTATTTGTAACCCTTGAAACATAGTAATATTAAAGATATTAATTAATATAATATTATAGATACTATTTAAAATAGATGCATTTTCTACTATAATTAATGTAAATTAAAACTTTAAAATCCTATTAGGTGACGACATTTAAAATTAAGATTTTAAAGCTTATAAGAATTTTAAAACAATTAATTACCTGTGGTTTGAACTCAAACACCGCACATGTACTCAATATAATCGTCAATACAATTAGTAAATTCATTATTAAATTATAAAATAAATTAATTTCAACAAAATTTAGACAAAACTAAAATATAATTTATTAATGAAATAGACTTTTTTGAGAATCTATTCCAATGGGAGACTAAACGCAAACTGACGGCAATATTAAACAAAACACAAGTTTTAAATTGAATTAATTTACTAATTAATAAATTTTGGGTATATAGATGTGCCCTATCATAGTAAAGGATATAAATGTTGGAGCATTTTTATGGACACCCGTTATCTGATTAGATAAGTGTTATTTTTGTAAAATAACCATGTCAACATTTTTAACACTATATCAATCCCGGTAACATGCCCAAAATTTAACTTTAAATAACTTAATATTTTTTATTTAAATAATTTAATATTTCTTATAGAATTCACAAATTATAAAAAAATTTACTAATCATATAAAATTAAACAAAAATTTTAAAATTGATTTTGGTATCTAGTATAAATTAAATAAGTTAAAATATTTTTGAACTCAAATGTACCTCTAACATTATATAATTCCCGTTTTGGGAGGCCTATTTTTATGAAAGTAAGTATATTTTTATTGACATATTTGACTAACGAAATCATTTTATTACGAAACTCATTGCCAAAATCATTACGAGTGTATCCAGGATTTTATTAGCTTTACAATTAATTACACGGACTCTGTCAGGTATATTTTAGCTATATTTAATACGCTAGATTATTATCAATATAACAATGTGCAAGATTGAATAATATATTTTTAAGTAATAAAAAATCTTTAAATATAACTGGCTAAATAAATTGTGCATTTTTCATAAATTAATTTTAATGTCATGGTAAAATTAAACTATATAAATAAAAAATTTGAAATTATTATTTAATTTAATATAAAAATAAATAGGTTATTTGGTAGTCCCACTTGATTCCGACTATATGAGCAAATATTATTTTAGTCACTTACATGATAACAGATAATTGATCATAATTAGTTTTTGTGATAAATAGTGGACTTAATTCAGTGTGCACTTTTTTATTATTTTATTAGACATAAAATCACGGGACAAAAAAGTCTTTAAAAAATTAGTTAATATCTGTTAATAATACTATATGTCCTACGTGATTTTTGATTCATTAATTGTTTGTAATAACTCATTATTTTAAAACCCAGACAAAGTGAGCAAGCACCTTTATTTAAAATTATAATTTACTTTAAGTTTTAATAATACAATATAATATCTCTACAATAATTCACATTTGTAAGTAATTTGTAGTTGTAAAAAATTATATTAAAATTAATAACAAACAAGGATTTTAAATTAAATTAGCAATGGTAGAAATTATAAATAAGTAAACTCATTAATAATATACAATGTTTTAGTATTTTAATAATGTTTGCATAATTTAATTTTTATTGTAAGGTATTCTTAAAAATAACAAGTTTTAATTATAATGCTTAAATAAATAAAGCCATAAATTAACGTTACAAAATGTATCATAAGACAACATTTATGCTACTATTTATATGTACCAATAAACTGATAATGGTAGGCGTATTCCCACAATATTACCAAATATTATCTGTAATGCTATATTATTATGATTTTAAAAATTGTGTATGATGACTCATAGCTTATAAAAATCTGAAACTATTGTAGAAATTGTCAATTTTAATTAACATTTAAAATTTTTAAATTGCTAATGAATATGTTTAAAATATTAATGTTAATAATATTATTTAAAACATTATTGTAATAAAATAGTAAATTATTTAAAAATAATTAACTATGCAGGATTGTATAATATTAAGACTTAATAATTAAGTGCATAGTTATAATTTATAAATTATTTTATTGCACTTGATTTAACAATGGCAATCTATTTTGTATTGTTCGCACTTAATTTACAACTCACTATAAATACAATAGACAATAAAATAATAAGGCATAATTTGATTAGACTAACTATTATTAGTATAAAACTAATATAATCACACATAATTAATAAACATTATAATTTATTTTTTTAGTAAAATATATACACCTAAACTTAATTAAGAAACTTAATTAGCCAAAAATTAAAAGCGTTTGATAATTATAAAGATTAATTTTTAAATTTAAAGAAATTATTTTTATACAAAAATCACTGAATAAGTTTAATGTTAGACTTTTTAATTAAATATTAATTACAAAAAGCCAAACATGTAGCTACATAAATGTAATTTAATACTTTGTATAACTTTAATTATAATACTTTTAATTAATGCAAGTGCATATTAAATACCAGTAAAAACATTATGTGTTAAAGTTTTTCTAATTAAAAATTTTAAAATTAATTATAATGTTAGGAATCGGCATTAATTAGGTGGTACTGGATTGTGGACATAGATGGCAGTCTACGTAATGAAATAAATTAATTTCAGATGATGACACATGTTTTGAAAAATATAATAAGTCTTATTAAAAAAGTCATCTAACTTAAAAAAATATTTACAATTTAATTGGCATTAATTTTTAAACGTACTGGAATAATTTTTAAAAATTAATATTTTTATTGCAGGTTATTTCTAGGCAAAATATTACTTGATACTTTTGTGATATTACGTATATTATAATAATACTTTACTAGACTGTAGTAAATAATTTTTATATAAGCTATTTATTTACTAAAATATAATTTTATTATTTAAAAGTCTTTATTAATTTATTTATTTACAATTTTAATAAGCATTTATGTATTTTATCAAATGTCATTTTACATAAAACTTTCTAAACTAAAGTATAGTTATATTTATCAAATTGCATTTATTCATGTAAAATAGTTATCAGGCACAAATTACTGTATTGTAAATAATTCTTATAAACTCAACTAAAAACAATTTATTAATTTTGTAAACCCTTAGCGTATTCATCAACATATTTAACATGGGATTGTGTGATGGCACCTATAGTGGGACAGCCGGCTATTGTCATAATATTATCCAATTCTTTGTACAGTATATCCAACACAGCCTTAACCCCATCGGAGCCCTAAAGGAATTCACAGAATATTCTTGAATTCAATTCATATATGATTTTATAAATGATTTTTTTCGCTTACATTATAGACGAGACCCCAACACACGGGTCGGCCCACAAACACAGCCTTTGCCCCTAAAGCTAGTGCTTTGAATACATCGCTACCACTGCGGACACCGCCGTCCAGATAGACGTCGACCTCCCGGCCCACCTCCGCCACGATTTCCGGTAAGGCCTCCATCTGTTTAATTTAATATATTTTTAAAAAATTAACATTTTGAAACTGTAAATCAATTTCTACTAGTTTAGTTTATACACACAAAATTTGTATATAATTTATAATTGGTGTTTTATTTGCGTGGACTTATATTTATCTATTTAATTATTATTATTTAACTAGAAATAAATTTTAAAATATTTTTATTATTTTAAAAATAATAATTTTTAACCAAACCTAACCTAACGTTACAAATACTTTCTCAATTCATTCAAATTATATTAATTATATTAATAATCCAGGTGTTAATTTCGGTAATAATGTATGTCTACATACAGTAGCTGGCGATCCGTCCAACTGTCGGCCGCCATGATTGGACACAAAGATGGCGTCCGCACCGGCATTAACAGCCAAACGCGAGTCTTCCGCCGTAAGGACACCCTTAATAACCACCGG